GTAAGTGAAATTCGATAAGTCAGTCGATAATCGACAGGTTTTAGTACAGCTTAGCTGAAATTATCGACACCTAGTAAAATACTAAGTCACGTCATCCTGGAAAGTGTAGAATATCTCCTGTATATGAAACTCTGACCGTTAGAGTCTGGATTCAGGGAAACCAAAATATGTGTGGACCAAATTGCAGCTCTATGCAACATCATCGAATAGAGCATTGAGTGGCAATCAACTCTCATTCTACATCAGCTTCATCCAATTTGAAGAGGCCTTCGGTAGACAGCGATGGCAGTGAGGCAATGTGGAAACGGCTTCAACACTGTGGTGTGCAGGGCAATAGATATTTATCAGCCTCATTCAGCGGATGGCTAGATGATAGTGCCAAGTGTCATGTAGCTCAGAACAGAAAACTCATTGCAAGGCTCTGAAATGAAGGTAGAAGTAAGACAAGACTGCCCAACTAAATCACCGAACTTGATATGATTATGAACAGCAATAAATTGAGCTCAAAACGTCATCAGTAAATATTACTGTAAAGCACTGTGAGAATTTATCAAAATCAATTCACCCACAATGGAATTAAAGCGCCCATTACATTCCGTACTTCGAGAGTCTGTGAGTGGACAGCAAGAAGACAAAAAAGGGTTAAACTTATAAGAAGACTCTAGAAGATCTGAACTACTCAGATGAATAATGTCTAGTATAGTCTAGTAACCAAAGGGCACAATAATTTAATAATGATAATAGCTAAAATTGAAAGAAACTCAAATTATCATCAGCCTCATGAACAAGAGGAATGCATTAATGTATTAGTATTATCAGACACTATGTATCACTTGTTGAGACAAATAAGTTGAGTATTTGAAATATAATTGGCACAGCTTCTGAGGTCTGTGCTTATTTTCGACGATTTCCACATGCTGTGGAAATAACTTCAGAGTAAGTTTACGTTTCCGCTCTGTGTCAAGAATACTCTAGGTGTTGCAAAATACAGCTGAGGAGGTCGAAGTGATCCGAATTTCTGAAGACAGTTTCGTTCGTTTGGGATCGCACTCATCATCAGTGCACCCGATTCGACTCAGCTTTGGGGGTGTAGTCACCCGAATACTGGCTGGCCGCATGCGCCAACTTGTACCAAGCAAATCACGTACGGTGGTGAGAGCGATTTTGGTTTCTAAGGGAACCTGAAGTGAAAGTGCATGAGCAGTTGAATAACTTTCAAAAACGGCGAATGTTCTTGCTAATTGAGAATTTGATTCATGTAACATATTGCTTGCCTCCTAAATTCTTTTAATCCGTCGCTTCTCCAGAAACCATCAGAAACTTGATGATTTTTTATTTTCGTTTTTTATGCACAGATTGGATGCAGAAAAAGCAACCTACATACCGTCGCCCTCATATTCGCCCACTGAAAACCGCATATATATTAATGGCGCTATAATGAATCTACCGTTTTACCACGATGATCAAACTATTTCCGAAAGATATGGGGGCTTGGGTTGGTCCATAGCTCATGAAATATTGCATGCTATTGATACATCCTGTACTAGACGAAACAAAATGAGTTTTTTATTAGATTGTTAACGTACCTTTGTTGGCATGTGTTAAACTGACAGACAATTTTGGGGAGAATATCCCAGGGTGCAAGAGAAAATTTGGGTGTTTCCCTCATTTATTAAGCTCGTATGTTCGTGACCTTGTTTCAGTGAAATTGTAGTCATCTTCATTGCGGGTATTTAAAAAATGTGGAAGTGTTGCTTTCTGTTGAACCGTTGCACATCTTTATTACTTCAGATCAATTTTACTTATTCCCTTTGCTAACATTCCTTTTATTTTCGAGTGTAACACAAGGCTTCATTTATGAGCTTTCAAGTATCAGAAACACTTTGTTTACAGAGTGGGTTGCTAGACTTGCATCCAACCTTTACCCCCTACCCCACTTTCCACCAGCTAGGCGAAGCCTAAGAGTGCACTGGGATCTGAGAATCAAATTCCCACTACGAAGGTGGTTAGCGAGCATTTTACGGCTGAATCACTAATATACCTTCGTTCTTACACTGATTATAGATTGAAAAGCAGTCGAATTAGTTCACTGAGTAGCTTTACTGGAAACCTGAAGTTTTAAATATCTCTCCTCTGCATTGATGTAACTTAGTGTTGCTCAACTTCACCGGAAAAAATATGACGGTCATATTGTCTGAATTATTTTGTAGCGTTAGATATCTTAGCGAAATCGGCAGAGGTATTACAAATGTTGGTCAACATTATTACTTTTATTGTTTTCTCTATTATTCGCCTGGGTTTCGAGTGGAACATAGGGTTTTAACAGCACATTTCCATATCATCCAGTTCCCTGCAGTCCTTTTTAACTGATGCCACGGTTGCTCATATACTCTCATCTCCTCTTCATGCTAGCTTCCAGTATCAACTTTGGATCAGCGCCCAACTCGTCGTTTCTCATCTGCGGTCCAATCGAGCGATGGTCTGATGGATGATGTCATTCGATGGGTTGCTCAGTATGTGTCCGATCCATCTCCATTTTCTCCTACATATTTGTTGAGCATTAGGTTCTTGATTGTTTCGTTGCCAAACTCCCCTGTCGCTAATTCTTTCTTGCTGGCCATCAGATCTTCATTATGGAGTCGGAGAAGCCAGCTTATGATGAAAGTCTGCAGTAGCCTGTTAGATATGCCTTTTGTGGGCAAATAAAGAAGAAATGACTATCATGAAATTGGTGTTGAAAATACGAATTTTGTTGTTTATGCTGAGTTAGTGCAGAAGATTTCCAAACTCATTTCAGAGTGATGTAGGTGGGCCTTGCTTTTTGGATTGTGGCTAGTTTTGACACCCTCATCCATTCTGCTGACCTTTAGTTAAGATGGCGTTGTCTATTTATATGAAGGAAATGACCACTTTTAAATTACTCCCGTTGATATTGATCGGTCCTTGTAATTTTTGTTAATGTCGGCTGATTACCTTCAGCATCTTCGTCTTCCCTGTGTTTACCTTTAATCATTTCTTCGCTGCCAGCGTCTTCTGTCAACTTCTTAGGTTTACCTGTAAGTCTTTGAATTTCTATGTAATCAGTCATAAAGCGTCTTTGATTGCCAGATCTTCCAGAGTGTCATTGTCAATCCAACGTATTCTTGTCTGCTCGCTCCCTAGTCGTAGTCTTTCGCATAGTCCAGTCCACTACAGTCAGGGATATTATCTAGTGTTATCTAGAATAACAACTTAAAAATACACAAACGTTCTTCTCGACTAGTACTTATCAATGGTATTTTCGGTAGGAGTGATAAGCCCATAATAGTGTGATGATATTTTTGAGGAGGCATGAACAACAGTAAGAAAGGTTTGAGAATGTCTCATTGATGACTTTGATCTAAGTGTATGCAACCGATATGAAGATTCACTGACATTCACATTAGAATTCTGCATATTTTCATTATATGCATGAATTCATATATCTCAGGTCTCTTACTCCTAAATTTCAGAATTGTATTGCCTAATCATTCAGTATGCTGTCTGGCATACTTAAAACGATTTATCATATTTCTGTATCCGGTATTTGAACCACTCATCACCGCTTATCTCATTGACAGTCTCACCCATCTAGTGTACGAAATTTTGCGCCATGATGAAGAATGATCTCAGTGGTATCCGCAGTTTCAGTGTACTTTTAGACTTAGCTTATATATATATATCCATGAGTGACTTCTAATGCACCCTAAATTAGCTGCTACAATGCAGTAAAGATTCATCTCTAAGAGAATATTCATCCAATAAATTTTGTCTTGTATGTCACATTTCAGTCAATATGCTAAACAAAGTTGCTTATAATCTGCACTGAATTCAAAATGTCAAAGTAACATAAAAACACACTCCTCTTATTATTATTCTACTGAACAAAAATAAGTATAAATAAATCTAATTACATTTCATGCAAATCAAGGTATACTTGTCGATGAGAATGGAGATGACAGGCCTCACAGTATATCACATCATGGATTTCTTGCTCTCTTGAAGCAAACAGAATGTCTACGCAAACAATACAAAAATTACAATTATACGAGTGAAAAGGTTTGTTGCATGTGGTAAATAAAAAATATTTAAATTCGTCAAATTATCTTTGCTTGCCTACGCTGTATGAACAACAGAATACGCGTAGATTATGTTTGATCATCATTATCAGAAAGAGCACAAACACTTTTGAAAGTTTCAATTTCTTGAATTCGTTCGTGAATGTAGTGTGTACAAACTGAGAGAAGTTCTTCAATGTCTCATTTTCATCTTTCCTATTGTTCAGTTTACGGAAATAAATCAATAAGTCTACATTATAGATATTTTCTTAGCTTGCATTTTATTCCACAAAGGTAAGCTAAGCTCAGTGACTTCGTCACTGTTTTACGATGGTCAGTAGGACATTTGCTTTAATGCTGCCCTCTTCTTTACAACACGTAAAGGGTATCTACAGTCATCCGATTCATTCAGCTTTAAAGTAATGTATCATAGGAATAGTTTGAAAAGTTCTTTTGCACTAATCTAGCTTGGTATTGACATCTGTGTTCCACCAAAGTCATGGTAGAGGTTTCCTGTAGAATTCCGTGTTAATTCATGGTACCTGCAAGTGTTATGGCCTCTGATAAGCATATTCTTAGGTCAGTGGAACACAGATAACCGTCTTAAACTTGTTTGACCCTGTTAAACACACTAGAATGAACTTTAGTTTTCATAATATGTGGACTTTAATGACTGCTTCTTTGTTTATTCAAAACTGATGTTAATTCATATCATTTATCAATAATCCTCTTTCAAATTATCAGAGTGAAACAATTGATGGTCTGGCTGAAATTCTGTCAGATAACGGTGGTCTGAGGATAGCATACAAGGTAAGTGTGATATGACTTTCTTAATATCAGGGATATATACAGAATAATAATGTCTATCCTAACATTATCTACACTGAGTGCCAACATTTAGCCCATTTTTCAATTTTGCCACTATCAGATGGGTTTTTAAGCTGACTTCCAGAAACTGAAATTTGTTGACAGCTGGTCTGTATTTGTGATAAATGTTCCAGTATGCTTCTCATCATTTTTTCAACTGAATCACAAGGAATTATCTACTTCAATTGAAAGTGGAGTATATCTGCCAAGATTGCAGTCTTTCTCTGTAAGAGTATTAGTAGACCAAATGGGTCGAAATTTGAGTCAGGAATTTCGAAGCTTGCGTTATGCAGAGGACTATCATATCAGATGTGTCCTAAGAAATGCATTTTATTATTCCATTAATTAAGTCAAAGAATCACATTATTTCCACACTCATGACTCCCACTGTTTTTGAATAAATAGGCATCAAACATTAAAGGCCAAGACACCGCTTTCGACTAAGTCGTCTAACTCTATTGGAAGACACACGTAGTTGGTTTTATCACCAAACACTAATATTTAATGAACACTTACATTTGATTAGGAAAATTTATTTAGACAGGTCTTTTCGAAATTATAAACTACCAGGTCGGTGGTATAGCGATTAGGACGCTCGCTGACCATGCACATGGTCCGGTGTTCGATCCCCAGCCGACGCACTCCTTCACCTCGTCAAGCCAGAAATAATGCTGGTAGAGAGGAAAGGTTGTACATGTGGCTAGCAACCCCATCCTGTAAAATAAACACTGCTATAGAAACTTCAAGCCATTAGCTTGAAGCCCTATTTCCCAGTGGGGAACGTGAAAGCAAAAAAAAGTTACTGCAACTGTGAGAGTTGAGGATGATTTCAGATTCACTGTAAGATTAGTAGAAGTATTGTACCATGCCATGAAGTGCTCACAGCCAAATTTGGATAATACTAGTGCGCAGTGGTATCTATTGGAATATTGACTTTTCAAGAATCACAAGAAAATGAAGGGGTTATGGTGTAGACATAAGCTGCTGTGTTCATGTGGAGCACTTCTAATACGTGTTTCGAATTTTCTTCGAGAAGCAAATCCAACTTATCATCTTACCCGACCTAGACTTAATAGAGCTCTGATAAAGGCATTCTTTGTTATGAGATATCTCACCTAAGAATACATTGAGAAATCTTCTCTTTTACATTAAACAAGTATCTGCTTTATTAGTTAACAACACAGTGCAATTAAGAAGTGGTAATCAATGCTGAAATCACTGCCATTAACTTTTCAAGGTACTATGCATGTAAGATCAATTCAATTCCCATCCTTGAATCAAGTCAAGCTGTCCCGGATCAGCCTAGCATTGTTGCAACACAATTATCCATGCCTAACGTGTCTATCCCACCTTGCTTAATGAACTGTGTGTATTTTTACTTCGATCTGTTTAGTCAGACAGTTGAACTCATAACCCAATCAGAGTATTTTTGTGACCTGTTATTTTGCTGACCCATGTCTTACTTTGTACTATTCTGTTGATTTTATCTTATTTATTGATTGGTTAAGTAGCCAATTAAATTCTATCTTTGTGCCTATGCTTTGTCTACCTCTTCCTTGGGTTCATTATTCTACTGACTGCCTACCTGAACGGTCGTGTCTGATCCGGCTAGTTCGTAATTTTGGCTTTAACGTTATTCCGCTCTGATAGCGGTTCCTTGCTTTCTGTTAAGCATTGTGTATTGTACTCTTGAAACCGTTAAGGTTTGTTGTATATATATTTATTGATTTGTTAATTAATAGTACCGTAGAAACAGTGACCGGCTTCTTGTTTGTTCTGGACCGGGATAGCCTTTATCTACGCGTGACTTAATTTCAAGCGATATTGCGCTTACAATGCATTTTAATTATGCTCACGGTACTGAGAGGAATTGAAATCGGTAATAATTAAAACATCTACCACTGTGTGATCACTGTGTACACTATGACAGGTTTATTTGCAGACTAGAGATTCATTTCTCTGTGCTGTAATAAACGGCTCTCCGTACACAGATTACCAGGAGGTTTTCACGTTATTTGTCCACTTTACTCTCATGATTCATTCCTTATTTAAATTGGAGAATAAGATCAGCTGATGAAAAACATGACAGTATTGCTATATTTCATAAATTGACCATTGGGTTCCGTCCAGGTGTCTGAATGTCCAACGGGTTTACCTCGTAACCTGAAGGCGCCTGGTTTTATCCTTGTCAAGGGAAGAAGACAGAATCAGGTTTATTCAGAGGCCGATTTCACTATTGATCATGGTGCTAATGTGAATGTTAACTAAGGGACGCTATTGTTGGAATCAAAAAAGCTGACAAAATAATTCTCAAATATATATCATAAACTGTTTGAACAGCAAGTGAGTCTAACGGACCACCGAAAATGCAAAGTGTTTCAAATCTGTTTGAATTCACCACCAGTAGGCTATCACACCGGTTGAATCAATATTTGCAACCATCTACTGGAACCTTCATTTTGTTTTGTAAATGTTAAGGCTCCAGCTGTATAAAAAGCAATATAGTATTAGACTGCATTGAAACAAAACTGCTAAGAATCCACAGGTTGATATACAGGCTACTGAATTTACTTCTAACCATAATATTTACTCCTGTCATTTATTTACTTCAGACATTTCAAAGACTGAGGAGAAACCTCACTAAAGATGTTGATGAAAACACGATCTCGTTTGTCGCTTCCGAGCAATCGTTTTTCTTTACTTTCGCTCAGGTATGTAGTTTTTTCTTCGTTTGCTCTCATATTTTATACAAAAACTAGTAGACCCATGAGTATACTTCACAGTGGGAGAAACTTACTTATGAAAAGACACTGACAAGTATTTTTCTCATCCAAATGCTTGCAATTTATAGGAAGATATATGCTATATACCGTTTTGATTGATGCACATTTCAGTTTGGATTGATCGGCGCCATTTCGTTCACAGGCGTTTACAAACCATTCATGGAGTTCTATTCAGAGTAGTAAGATATTCGAAAGCGTAACAAATGCTCATCCGCTGATACTAATTTAAACAACTTAGACAACAGTTTCATAATCACCAGCGGCATGCTTCTCTTAATGGAATGAAGGACACTTAGGGGTATGTCACTTGCAGTGAATCTCGAAGATTTCACATAAGGACAGATGCTCTAGTATAGTTTTGTACTGCTTACCCTGTGGAACAGGTTCGACTTCTGATCAAGAAATTCAGCCAGTACATCTCCCTGTGGGCTATTCTCTGTGGGCATCATAATGTAACTAGCTTAGATGCACTCGCATTTCGAAATATAATTTCACCAGTTTCTGGAAGAGAGAGATTAATGACTTCGAAATCAGCCGAAACTGGAGAGACGTAAACTAAACTTAACTTAACCTTGGTCGTTTTATTTGAACTTTCTCCGTGACTTCCTTAAATCACTGGGCTATATAATCGTCTACAGACCGTGATGTGTCAAATTTACTCAGTTGCAGCTTATTTTAACCACCTATTTGCGTTCTTGAAGAACAGTCTGCAGTCAAGTATACTTTTAAACTGCTTCCAACATACTGACTGGTGCTTTTTGAAAGGAAAAATCTGTCGGGGGTCGGAGAATGTGGCAGATAGCATGAAATTCCGTCAAATGATATACTGTACACTACTGTTTTACTTGAAGATGCAATATAAGACGTAGATAAGAGCACACTAAAAACTCTTTACTGCTTATAAACATGTTGTTATTACTGTTATTATTATCATATCAGTCGGTTCGTTAATCTATTTTACACACTGAATACGACATGATTATCTGAAGATTGTACATTAACCTATTGAAGTTGGGAAATAATTCATATTTTTATTCATCTTATTTTTTCCAGTTATCTTGTGAGAAGTATACTGCAAAAGGACTAATTAAACACATGAATGACGCTGATCACGTGTTAGGTCATTACAGGTGAGATTTTATTAGAAATGTTAAAGTTTTCACGTCATTCCTCGAGTTCATCATTTATCCATAAGAGAATGCATAACTTGATATCGAGTAATAAAATAAGCTGAAATTCAGCTAAAATTGAACAAAGCAAACAAACGCCTGAAGATTAGTCTAATGCTCACCAGCGACCGTCTCTATGTGGGAAATTGGCTTAAGTTCTAGTTAAGAGTTGTGATCATGTGGATCCACGAAGTCAGGTTAAGGGACAGTTACTCGCTGACAACACCGCCTGGTGGTTACGGTGGATATCACGGGTTATTCTATTGGGTGCAGGCGGATGAATGGTTGACGAGCTCGCCTTATAACCAGAAGGCCAAGGATTTCGAAAACCCGTGATACGCACCGTGAAGAATTCCAAACAAGGATGAAACAGCTGCCCAGTAATGCCTTTTTTCCTAATGATTCTCTAAATGATATCAACTCATTATGAAAATTGTATCTAATAGAGTTTCAGTCACCAGTAAAGTCAAACAACTCTGAATATATATACGATTACTTTGATAATAGTAGCTTCATTTGATGTAATTCGTACTTTCGCGTTGACTGATTGGACCAAAGTGTTTGACCTATGTTTACATATCGGCTCTTTGCGCAGACGCTTCGAAAATGTATGAGGATTTAACTTGCAGTAATTTGAAGTAATGAAGTAGTTGGATTACACAATAATTAATGCCCGCTGCACAGGAGGTGGAGTTCGTTCGTCCGAGTGGACTAGTGGATAACTCTTTGGCGTTTGAAACGATGGGCACTAGGTTCGATCCTTAGTTGGAAGACCACGTCCAACTGACTAGTCCTAAAAAGGACTAAATGAGAATCTTGAATTCCACTGCTGGTCGCCATCCAGCAAATTACTTGACATAATAGCTTTATCCCGGAAAGTACGTTTATACACAATAGAGAATTTTCGATGATTCTCATTGCAGAGTACTTACTACCTTAAATTGACGCATTAATCAATAAAATATCACCTGAAGCATGCTACAATACTACTATAAAATGTTTCTTCGTTTCTTTCGAAAAGTTGCTATCGGCAGATAGATACTTATCTGAAATTATGTGCAAGTATAGACTACGACCTATGGTGGTATTAGACGATTGAAAGAATATGAAACGGTATAAATACAATGGGTTTTGATGGATAGAAAATTGAGGTAACCCAGTGAATTAAGCAGGTCACCTATATTACAGGTTGCGATGAATTTAACACACAGTTTAAACTAACAACATCTATAATTTTCTACGTGTTTAAACGTATCAGTCTATACTTTAACCCACTATTTATTGGCTTTTTTGTTTATTAGAGTAGTCGGCACCTTGTCAAATAGTGAAAATTTCGCAACAGCATACAACTGTCCAGTGAACTCACCAATGAATCCAAGTGAAAAGTGTCATGTATGGTGAATGAAGAAGTGTCCATAGTTCGCAGTAAACTTATATATTTGTATTCTCATCTAAAGAGAAACTGAAATGTAATCCTGTCATACTTTGATTTATTTTTATCGAACTGTTGTTATCATAATATGCTTATCTGAGTGAACTTGGTTTATTTGATTACCTTCTTTTACCTATGACATAAGCCGTCACCATAATGTTGGCTTTTAGATAATTCAGTAGTGTCGTAAAGGTGAACACAGTCAATGTTCGTTTGAAGGAATCGAGTGCTGCCCAAAGATAGTGAGCGAATGATTGGTTTGTTATTCTCCACTTTATCTTCTCCAACTCTCAACACTTCGAATGCCAGTCTTCTTCATAAATCTCAAAAGCTATCAGAAATGGCCCCACTGACTTTATCATTTCTGAATTTACAGCCTACGCATTCTATCAAGGTATCAATCATTTCGCACAGTCTGTTTCAGTAGATAGGAAATATTCATTCACTGATTAGCCAACTAGTGCAATAGTGTCAAGCTTCTCAAATAACTGCCTATCAGAAGTTGTTGTTAGCATTATATCCTAAATATCAAATGATATGCACCGATCCTATCTTGATCAATCCCCACAAGAATTATAAACATAATATTGGCGATCTAACATTAAACTTTGTTACACCTACGAGGAGCAGTTTATTGCGACGCGAACCATGAGTAGAATAATTTGACACTTCGCGTTTATTTCGGTTCGTATAATTTGCTTGATATTTTGAAAACAGCTGATGTGAGTACCAAGAACTTCAATAACAAAGCATCTTATAGACTACAGACATAATATTGACGCTGTCGTGTCACTCACTGTTGCCAGCAGACAAATAAACAAACGAACAAGAAGGTGGAATACCATCTCGTTCTGCTGCCTTCCTGAACTTTGGTAGCTTGATCGCATTGAGGATTTCTGTTTTCGTTGGAAGACTGGTGTCCACTGGTAGGCAGTTATGTGCGTGCTGTTTGTGGTGGTGGTATTTCTGGGTGAGTTTCAGGTGATGGTCAATTCGAGAGTCCTTTAAAGTGATGAGCCCATTGTTTTATTTAGTTCTTCTCCCTCGTAATCAGGTTCCCTTGAACATCTTCTGTTGGTTTCATAATCTTGGTTGATCTCATCACATCTAGAGACCTGATTATCTGATATAATGCTCTGAGGTCTCTTTTACTTTTCCTGCATTCAGTTCTACTTCAGTTGCCAGTATGTTGTTGAATTACCTCTTGTATTTCCTAACACTCTTCTTCAATCCTCTTTTCAATGCAGCTTACATTGGACTCAGCTTCTCTTTTTGTTGCCTGTCTTCGGATTGAGTAGTCATCTTCTCTTTAACCATCCTTCTCTCCTCAATAAGCTTCCAGTTATCCGTTGAAAGTTACTCCTTATCTTGTCTCTTCTTTCTTCCTAAAACCGTTGCACATGTTTCTTCGAACATCATCTTCGAAAATTTAGTTCCAATATCTTTCCACACAGCTTTCCTCAGTGATACTACGTAGTGTCTCCAACTTCGCCCTCATATCTGTAGTGAAGGTAGCCTTAGTAGTTTTGTCCTTCAGTTGAACTTGAATTGCAGTGGCCTGTCTCCAGTTGCTCTGAAGGATTTCAGCCTTGTTCTGAATGTTCATTGCGCTAAATGATGGTCTGAGCCCGAATCTCCTCCTCTTCTCGACTTTGTGTATAGCAGGTTTCATCTGCACCTCCTTGAGATTCATATGAAATATATCTGGTTTGTGGTGTGTCCATAAGGCGAAATCCATGTTGCTTTGGTATATCCCTGTGCTTGAGCACTCTGCCTGTTTTCTGTTTTAATTCATTCCGTTGAGCCAGAGCCTCTCGACAGATGACGAGTTCTCACCCCGCATTGTGTTCTCCCAGTTCGGTTGGTTTCCATGTCCCCATAGTGATTTTGATGTCTCCATTTGGGATGTTATCTATTAGCGTTTGCATTTGTCTATAGAAATTTCCTCTCTCCTCTTGTCATGAGTTGTTTTTTAGGATTGGATAATTGTAACCGTCATTCGTTCCTATTCAGTTGAATATTGCTGTCATAATGCTGTAGGAGGAGATTGGTTCCCACTGAATAAGAGCTTTGGTTGCTGTTGGTGACATCATGATAGCCACTCACTGCCTCAGTATGCTCGTGGTTGTAGTCTGGGTCACCAGACTGGAGTAGATTACTGACTCAGCAGTTGACAATTTCGATAGTCCACATTCATACTATATACCGTCGCCGATTCTTGGCACTTCTAGACCATATCTTCTCATCTCTTTGACGATTTGGGCAGCCTTCATACATTCTACGAACAATCCTCTTCCACATTCTTGTCATTTCGTCTGTCGAAAGAAAACTTATCGGCTGACTGCCTTCTAGATGGCTTTCTCCAGACTGTGTCATTTTATCTCTCCAATTCCAGCTCATAATTAAGTTTGTGTTTTATATATTTTGAATTTATATATTCTTATTGTTCAGTGAAGTTTCTGTAGCAGTTTCATTAGTTTTGTGGGGTAAGGTTGCTAGCTCCACACCCATCACTTCCTCTACTTCTGGGCTTGGAACCGGCTAGAAACCTATTGAGCTAGTAAACCAGGATAGGTTGAAAATATTAATATGGCTAGGTGCATGCACATAACATACAGCCTTCTTCAACAACTACTAAGGTTGATCTCATTGATGTCACTGAACCGTAATGCTCTATTTTCTGAATGATAGTCTTTCAAACTCCCTTCCCTTAACAACGTGAACATGACCAGAAAAACACACCTGCCGTTTGGCATGATTGACTTAATGAAGTTTTTAAATCGTGGAAAATACCCATCAAAACATTAGAGGGAAAAGAACAAGAAATTCAGCAAAGATATCATTTCGGCAATTTCATTCTCAAAAGTGGCTGTAGAATCGCATTTATGTACAATAGTTAACACAGATACAAGTATTATTTATTGAATTCCAAAGGAGATTAAGGTTCATAACAATTCTCAACTTGATACGAAAGTTTGAAGGTGTGAATACAGATAATGAGGGGCTTAGAGACAAGGTTATGCAGGGTTATAAAGCAGTTACAATGTATGTAAAATTAATGTGAAAAACCTGGAAAATTAATTTTAACATTAACTTGATATATAGGTTTGAAAGTGTCAACATAGATTACACTGGGTTTGGAAACAAAATAATATAGGATTGGAAAATATTTTTTAACGACCTGAGCATGGGAACAGGTTGAAAGAATAATGAAAAGGATTAAAAAACGGGATCAAAGGAGAGAAACCGAAATAGATCTAGGATAAATGTAGGGGTTGAACCAGATTCTTTTGAACACACCATTCCGGCTTTCCGGGGCATATGGTGAGGGCTTCTGCAGTAAGAGGAAGTCGAAAACACACTGTCTTTGGTTTGCTTACTTTTCAGTCTTATATCTCCCTGTGTAGTTCTAATGGTATATGTGTCGCTGTATGTAAAGTATTCAGCTAAAGAATTTTACTGAAGTCTTAGGAATTCATTAAATCCTGTCTGATTAATCATTGTTTTAAGGATTTACATTAGAATTCCGATATTTATTGACTTGCTATCCACATATCTAGTTAACCGTTTCAATTAGAGGTACATTTGTGAATAGGGATGTTATGTTCAAAAATATCATAGTTTTATCTTTGTTGTTGGTATCTTGCAGTCCGTCTACGAATTCCAACACATCCTTCACACTGTATTTCACCGGCGTTTTATGTAAAGGTTTTAGAATATTTACCAGCCATCTAGATAAATTATGGTATGTCAAATTTACCATACGTAGAATTTGTGTTAACGGTACCCCGTGTTTGAGAGAACTATGGAACAAAGACCAATATATACACTTCTTTGGCTTCTTAAGCATGAGATGCAAACGTAATTTGATCAGGTACTCGCCAATTAGAACGTGGTTCACTTGCTCCGTAGACTGTGTAGAAAATACTCTGTGTCACCCAGGCTATGCCAAGCAAAAATGAATATCCGGAACTGTTTATAAAAGTAAAAATATTCGACTACTTTGTTAATAATATTATTTGTGAATTTTTTCTATGGTATTTTATTAACACCTTTTTCTTAACCAACCTTATATTCACTCTTTCCACCTATCGCATAATTTATTTTGGACACTTGTCTCCATACTCTTTCATTAATATCCTATTTTTCTGGATGTCTTCCATATTACATAACCCTTGATGATAGTTACTAATATTCACTCTCCTAGTTACCAACTCATTATTCATCACATCTTTTGAAACATTTTGATGGTGTAAACAACGATACTTATTAATTTTTATTCTTGTCTGACAAACCTCATTTACACATTTACAAAAGTAATTATATATAATGACGACTATACAGATAGGTGAATGAATTCACCGAAAAGCGACTCCTCACTGAACTGTTTGTTCTTACATTTTGCATATTAGTCGCAAACATGAAGCAGCAATTGCTGGAAAACAGTCATTCTATCAATATATCGAACCACAGCGATAATGAAGACTTTCTATTTTGGGCACTTGTTCCCATCCTTCAACAGCAGCCAAATGTTTAACCTTAAAATACAAAACCTCTTGACTAATCTTAGGCCTTTCTCAGGCTTATACAGTTTCAACTGTTCCAGTGATTCAAGTTACTTCGGGCATACAATTAAGCGGCTTCATGTGTAGTTTCGAGAATGTTTACCACTTTGATGCAGTTCCGGTTGAATGAAATGCATAAAGCGTTTATTACTAACACACTTAGTGGATAAATTGTATAGGATTAACGCTAACACAATTTCAGAGTTATATACTCAATTACGAATTCGTTGTCCTCACGCCATGCTTACTGTTAATCTAATAGACGAGACTGAAAAACAGAAAAACGGAATCAGAGACTTATAAATAACCATGATTTCACGATCAACTTGGTGTTCACCAATGTTCTTTTTATGGAAACAGTAGGTTATTTATATAATGAACTGATAAATGAGTGTGTAAAGATTGGTATTCCCATGTCTTCTTGAAA